CCCTTAAGGAGGTGGAACTGGTTGGACTGCTTTCACCTCATTCAAAAGAGCAAAGGCAGCTGACCTCACCTAGGTCAGGTTCTGTGCTGTGTGTTTTTGCTGCAGGAAACCAACTCCTCCAGAAGCCCCAGTAGACTTTGCAGCCCTGCCCTGACTCTGTCCTCCATTTGAGCAGAAGTGCTGCTTCCTGGAGGTGGGGTGAGGAGGACGCATGCCCAGCTACTTGCTCACACCTCAATTTGTCCTGGGAAGTGTTTTTTCTAGCTGATATATTTTTTAAAAATTTAATCTTTATTAGTACATCTCTGCAGTACATAATGATGACATGCGTCTTGGGGACCTGGTGCGAGGACATCACACATCTCAGTTCTTGTTTCCTCCTCTTCCTTCTCCTCCCTTCCCCCTCTCTCCAGGTCTTGGTTCCCTTCCTTTACAAAAGATCTGTCTCTCTGTGTCCTTTTATCTGTCTTTTATGTTGCTCTTTAACTACTTGTTCTTTGGGTCTCTCATATAAGAGAGTCATGCGATAGTTAACCTTGTGTGTCTGATTTATTTCATTTAACATCATTGACATTTATTTCACTTGGCATTATGTCAGCATGTCTCAAGGTGCATCCATTTTCCTAACTGTAGCTGCTATCCGGATTTAAACAATTGCCGGGGCAGCTAGTATGGTTTTCATTGTTCCACGTGATGATCACTGGCACTAAGACCCATACTAGGTCACCTTGGCTGCCAGAAGTTCAAGAGTCATCTTGTGATGATGACCAGGTTGTATAAACTTTATCATTGGTGCTGCTTTTCCTGATTTGCTGTTGATTTTCCAAATTACCTGCTTGTGTCTTCATTCAAGGTTGAGCCCATTACTTTTCAAATCATACTCATCAACGTATGAACTCTGTTAAACTCTAGTATTACTGGCACCTCAGAGCCTACTTTACATGGGAATTATAATTCATAGTGTTCAGTATCTTTGAATGAGTAAAAGGCCATATTGAAAGAACCTATCTCATATTAAAGTGACATATACTGACCATGAATGAAGATTAAACTGATTAGATTTATTACAGAAAACATGCAAAACTGCACAAGAACTTTCCTCAGGTGGCCTGCCCAGGAGAGAGGAAAAGGAAAATGTTGGACGACAGTTTGCTAAATTCATTTGTTACTCTGTGTCCTTGAGCTACTCATATGCAAAACAGATGCAATTTGTAAGGAAATAAGGGGTTTTATTCAAAGAGTTGTAAGTTTAACAATTAAGTGCATAGAAGTATTTTATAAGTAATTTTATAAGAAGTATTTTATGAGTAATTTTCTTGTGCTACTGGGTATCAAACCCTGGGCCTTGTACGTGATAGGGAAGTGCTTTACCACTGAGCTTCATCCCCAGCTCAGCAGTAATGTTAACACTTTTAAAAGTCAGGAAACATCATTTATGCAGTGATGATTTAAATGATCAGAAAAATTCAAAAAGATTGATTGTAAAAAATAAAGTAGTAATTCGGAATACATTGGTTTCTAGCCATACACTATGGATTTGAGCTAGTATTATTCTGGTGTTAATTAGGTCTAGTTTAAGTGGTAGACCTCTAATCTCTTGAATCTCAAATGGAGAAAGCTAATCAGATTAGCTAATATTATTCCCAAAATTTATAGTTGAGCAAATACAGAATTTGAGCCCTTCCATTGTTAATGGTTAGAATTTATTTGCTGCTTTTCATGTGTTTGATCTCGGTGGGACTTGGTCTAATGTGAACCAGTTTATTATAGTTGCATCCACTGATTTCTTTTCTATTTTTTAACATTTTCTTTCATTTATTTTGATTAGTCCGTGTTTGCAGTATATGATATTTACATTACTTGTGTAGAGTTGGTACACGTATACAACACGTCTTACACCACTCCCCTCCCTCCGTCTCCTGGTCCCTCCCACTGAGAAAGGCCTATCTCCCTACTTCCTCTTATTTATCTCTTATTTTGCTCTTTATTTATACTTTGGGTTTCTCGTATAAGAGAAGTTATGGGATATTTAAGCTTGTGTGTCTGATTTATTTCACTTAACATTATGGTCTCAAGGCGCATCCGTTTTCCTACAAATGACTCAAGTTTATCCTTCTTTATGGCAGAGTAATACTCCATTGTGTGTAAACACCACGTTTTCTTTATCCATTCATCTACTGATAGACAGATCTAGCTATCGTGAATTGTACTGCTATAAACATGGATATGCATGTATCGTTGTCATGTGGTCTTAAACCCTTCTGGGAAGATACCTAGAAGGATAATAGCTGGGTTGAATAGGAGTTATTGTTTTAGTTTTTTGAGGACTCTCCAAGATGATTTCCCCAGTGGTTGTACTAGTTTACATTCTCAGCAACAGTGTAGAAGGGGTCCCCACTCCGCACATCCTCTCCAACATTTGTTATTATTTAATTTATTGATGATGACTGTTATCTCTGGGGTAAGGTGGAATCTCAGTGTTGCTTGAGTTTGCATTTCTCTGACGGCCAGCAATGTTGAGCACTTCTTCATGTATTCTTAGAATAGCTTTGCATAGAAATAGCCTGGTCACACGGGGCTGCTTCCCATCCTCAGGTCATCCAAGCTCTGCAGAGGGTGGACAGCATGGTCGGCATGCTCATGGAGGGCCTCAGAGAGCTGAAGCTGGACAAATGCCTGAACCTCATCCTGATTTCAGATCACGGTAATCTACGTTTCCATCCTTTACTCCTCCCATTAAGTGTTACCAAAGTATACTTGGCAGATTTTTGTCTCATGATTCCCTCTGAATGCATAGGTCATATATTTTAAAAAATGTAGATCCTTATGGAAAGTCTTTAGGAAGAAATTACACTAAATATAAAACCCAAATGAAAGCCAGAATTCACGGAAACCTACATCATGCAGCCAGCTATCTGCTGATTTGGAAAGAGCCTACACCAGGATTTGAATAGTTCAAAAAATGTTTTTTCAGTGTTAAATTTTGGTAACTCTACAGTTTTAAATTTAATCAGAACACATTATTATGTACCTTTTCAATTTTATTTATTGTAATACACATAACTTTAGAGGCTGTGTATGTTAACTTTGACAATATTTTAATTTTGCATAACAATCTTGGTGACACAGGTTTATGTACAGCTGTCAGAATAAAGAAGTGGTGTGCATAATAGAAAGTAGAAAATAGGCTGTTTATTTATTTTTCCACTTGTATTTTGTTGTTTGCTCCAAAAATAATTGCAGAAACCTGTTTTTTAGGAACAGCCCTAAAGTGTTATGTGTTAAAGAAACACCAGTCCCGCAATGAGTCTTAGACACCTATAATTCCAGCTAAAATAGGAGGTGTTTTATGGCCAACAGCTGTCTAGATCTGTGATAAGACAGTCTTCCTTACTAATGGAATGATAGTATAATAGATAAATGAGAAGAAACATTAAGCTGATATTGGGTGAAGGAAAAGGATTTTTTTTTTAATAGTAGCAAAGATTTATTAAAGGTAGGGAAAAGATGCAGAGTGAGTTTGGGCCAAGTAAAAATAGGAAAAGAAGTACAGTCTCCAGCATGGGAGCCGGCCACCATGCAGAGAGAACATAGTAGCTTCGGGAAGGTATTTTGAAAAAAGTAAAAAGGTGAGCATAGCAGAAATTCCATGTCTTATCCTGTGTTCAGCTAAGGAACAACTGTTCATGAACATCTGATAACAGCGAATATATTCCACTAATACGCTGAATGCGTGTATGTAATTAATTAAATTCTCAAAGTGAAAGAAATTCTGCTTTCCATATTAAATTCTTTATAAAAGTTACATGCTTTGGGATTTCCTTCTCCTAGGCATGGAACAAGGCAGTTGTAAAAAGTATGTGTACCTGAATAAATATTTGGGGGATGTTAAAAATATTAAAGTTGTCTATGGACCTGCTGCTCGATTGAGGCCCTCCGATGACCTCGATGAATACTATTCTTGTAAGTATGTCTTAAGTATGTCTCTGTGATAACTTCACATATGTTTGTATTAAAAATATATTTCTCAAAAATCAATAGAAATGATAGGAATTGATGTTTCATAATCTCTGGTGTAGATCTTTTGTACTTAAATAAATTTTGTGGGGCTAAATTTGAAGCCACAAATCTAACCACTCATCTTTCTGATAATTATTCATGGGCCAAACCTATTATTTGATACTCTTAGTACAATTTGCTGTTGCAGTATGTGTTTTACTTGTAGTAGGTTCGAGATTGTAGTAGAAAAAAGTTTAAGGGAAAAATTCAGCTCTGTTCCAGTTTAGATAGTTAGTGGCAGGAATGTAACTTAGAGGATCTGGAGTATATTCTGTTGTGAGGAGGAACGCTGGCAGAGGTGATGGACTTGATAAGCAGTCTGAGTCTGTCCTCAGAAATGATTCTTTAAGCCACTTCAAAAAGCAACAAGAATGTATCTTTGAAGAGAAGAGGAGAAGAAATTTCACCTTCTCTCTTCACACAAATTGCAGAAAAAATGAAAGATATTTCTTCTTTTGCACATCAAGCCCACTTTGTAACTTTTCCCAACATTTGCTCTTTGCTTTTTGATTATCATCCCTGAAAACTGTCTGATACGCAGTGCAATTTTCAAAAATATTTTTGACACTATTGGGTTTTTTTTTTGGTACTGGAAATCAAATTCAGGACCTTATGCTTGCCAGGCAGGTACGGCACCACTGAGGTACATTTTTGGCCCTTGACACTATTAGTTTTGAAGTAAAAAAAAATCAGGTTCTCTGAGTTATCAAAATTGGGCTAGGTTTGAGTTTTGAATGAAATAGGTTTCATTAGATACTGTTGAATATTAATTTTAAAAAGATTTCATTGCAGGAAAATGGGTATGGAATATAGTAGCACAAAGTACCGGTTCCACCTGCAGAATTACAAATTTTAATTAGTATTTTTAAAAGTTTAGCAATGTAGTACAGTCAGCCTTCCATATGTAATGGTTCCATATCTGTGAATTCAGCCAACCACAGATTGAAAATATTTATGAAAATATTTGGAAAAAATGATATCTGTGTTAAGCATGTACACATTTTTTGTCATTACTCTAAATAATGCAGTGTAGCACTCTTCATACAGCATTTGCATTATGTTAGACATTGCAAGTCACCTCAATATACAGGAGGATGTGTGTAGGTAATTTCCAAATACTGTGCCATTTTATATCAGGGACTTGAGCATCTGGGAACTGTGATGTTCATGTCGGACCCAGTGCCCCGAGGACCCTGGGGACAACTGTACACAATGATTTTAAGACCTGTTAGAAAACCACACAGGCATTGGCCGTGCCAGAGATGCTTGAATTGGGTGTGAAATAACTTATCCACACCCTTACCTCGCTTACACCCCCACATTTCCCAAATTCAGGCAAAAACTACAGATCAGTATATACATACATACATACATAAAATATGTATATAATATATACTCTTTTATTTGCATGATTTTCTCAAAAGGTAGAGCTAAAGAAAGTTTAGAAAGCTGGACAATTGCCACCAATGTCACTGAGTAGTGCAAATTCAGTTTTAAACCAATCTACTTGCCCTTTCTTCTGTGTTTCCCTGTGTCCCTCTTCTTTTGAAATTTTACAGTAATCATTGAATATTGAAATATACAAAAGAAAAAATAAGTTTCCCACCTGAAGTCCTCTTACTTCACAACTCAGTTCCCCTTTTTAGTTTAGAAGATGTTTTCCCAGGTATTTGCTGAATGTATATTAAACACATGAAATCATACTAGGTGTATATATAAATATGGGTAGATACGTGCCCGGATGGTCAGATATTTGGGTGGGTGGATAGACTGACACATGGATGACTGGATGGGCGGGCTGTGAGTAGGCAGACGCAAGGATGAGCAGATGGTGGGTGGACAGGTGCTGGCACCTGCTTTCAGGTAACGATAGGACACTGTAATGTGTGCACATTACCAGGCAGTACTGAAGGGTCTGTCTTATTCCTTTAACAGGCAGGATGCAGTGCCTTAAATGAGTTTGCAATCAGCTTTGGTATTTAAATATAGGATTAGAGCCTGACATTCTACATTTTTGTAGTTTTTTTATTTTTTTGGTACCGGGGATCAAACTCATGTCCTTGCGCTTGCGCAGCAGGCGGCGAAACCACTGAGCTAAATCCCCGGCCCCGTATTTTTATTTTTAATTGTAGCATATCATCAGCTGTTCGTTTTTTTAACTGTATATCCTTTTAGTGGTACATTTTAGGTACACGATATAATGGCATTTATCATTGGAAATTTGCACCTTTACATAATCTCTCTTGGTTCTTATTTTTTCCCCCTTCCCCTGCCCTCCCTTCAACCCCTCCATCCCTCCCAATTTACAGAGACTTTGTTTCCTTTTTTTCATTTTCTCATATTAATTCCATTTCCTTCTTTCCTTTCCCCTAACTCTTCCCCTTTGCCCCTTTTCTTCCAATTTCACATTATCTATTATACCTTTTAGTCCTTATTTACACTTTCAGTTTCTCACACTAGAGAAACTATTCGGTATTTACACATGTGTGTCCTATTTATTTCACTTAAGAGTATCACCTCAGTGTGCATCCATTTAGCAATAAATGTCTCTAATTTCTCGTTTTTTATGGCTGAGTAGTACTCCATTTTATTAAAAACCCCGCATTTTCTTTATCCAGTCTCCAGTTGATGGGCATTTGGGCAGATTCCAACTTTTAGCTATTACAAACTGTGCTGCTATGAACATGGGTGCACATATATCACTGTGATATGATTCTTTTAATTCTTTGGGGAAGATACCCAGCAGGGGAATAGCTGGGTGAAATGGGACCTCTAGTCCTAGTTCTTTGAGGTATCTCCATACTGATTTCCACAGTGGTTGCACCAGTCTACACTCCCACCAGCAGTGGAGCAGGGTTCCCCTTTCCCCACACCCCTGCCAGCATTTGTTATTTGTTGATTTCTTGATAGCAGCCACTCTTTCTGGAGTGAGGTGGAATCTCAGTGTTGTTTTCATCTGCATCTCTCAAATGACCAGTGATGTTGAACATTTTTTCATATGTTTATTTGCCATTTCTACTTCTTTGTGTGAGAAATGTCTGTTCATTTCAGATGCCCATTTTTGGATTGGGTCTTTAAATTTGGGAGGTCTTATTTTTTAGTTCTTTATAGATTCAAGATAGTAGGCCTTTGTCTGAGGGACCGCTGGTGAAAATTTTTCCCCACATTGTGGGTTGTCTCTTCACACTGCTGGTCGTTTCTCTTGATCAGCTATTAATTCTTAACCTTTGTCCCCCTTTAGTTAATTATGAAGGTGTTGCCAGAAATCTCTCTGTGAGTATCTTTAATTCCCATTGTCTGGTTATTGTTAATTTTGTGTCATGTGTATTTAGAGAATGGGTTCAGTGTCTGTTATTACGATTAGAATTTTCAAGTATATGGGCCAATATGTTTAGCTTTTAAAGATCTTTGGGGATATGGCCCTATAATCTATGTTTGAAAGTTTTTCAGAATTTACTTACTAGTGCTGTAAAATGTATTTGACAGTACCAGAAATAATTGAAAAAACGAACAGAAAATTGTATAGCTCTTCTACTGTAAATGCAGTAGCCTCATCATACATTGTCTTCCGAGCCAGGTGTGGTAACTGCCTGTCATCCCAGCGCTCTGGGAGGCTGAGGCAACACGATCACAAATTCAAGGCAAGACCAGGCAAAATAGTGACTTATCGAGACACTGTCTCAAAGTAAAAAATTTCAAAAAAGGTTGGCAATATAGCTCATTGTGAATGCCCTAGGTTCAGTCCCTAGTACTGCAAAGAAAGATGGAAGAGGGGCGGGGATTTAGCTCAGTGGCACTGCGCCTGCCTCACAAGCGCAAGGTCATGAGTTCGATCCCCAGTGCCGAAAAAGAAAAAGAAAAAAGAAAGAAGGAAGGAGAAAGGAAAAGAGAAAAAAAGAAAAGCAGTCGTAACTCCAGTGCGATCTAGTGTAATCAAGTGACACAGTCTAAGAGTCCTGGAACTTTTATGCAGTAACAATGATGATGTCTGATAAAAATTGCAACTAGCTTGGAATATTCACCTCGTAAATTATACAGCTAGCAAAAAAAAATTTATACAACTAGCAAGAACTGTTTTTATTTTTATTTTTTTTCAATACTCGGGATTGAACCTAGGACTTTTGCATTGAGCCACATGCCCAGCCCTTTATTTTACTTTATTTTATTTTATTTGTTGAAACAGTGTCTAAACTGCTCAGGCTGGGTTTGTACTTGTGATCCTCCTGTCTCAGCCTCCCAGAGTGCAAGAGCTTTTATTTTCTATCTGTGACTGATTGGGTAGGCTGATAAATGTTTGAGAAAAAACTTTTATGGAGTTAAAAGGGTTTTCAAGAAATGATTACAGTTTAGCCAGTATGGAAATAACAATGTGCTTTTTTTGTTTTGACCTTTTGCAATTTCAGTGCCGTGAACCCAAGCAGCACTTCAGACCTTACCTGAAACATTTCTTACCCAAGCGATTTCACTTTGCTAAGAATGACAGGATCGAGCCTCTGACCTTCTACTTGGACGCGCAGTGGCAACTTGCGCTGTAAGTTAGACGTAGCCTGGCCTGCCAGTAGCTCAGGGCAACCAGTGGGCCTTTTATAAAAGTGTCGCTACATGAAAACTACAGATAGGATTCTCTTCACTCGACCTGGGATTTCTCAACCTTGGCCTATTAACTTTTGGGGCTTATTTTATTTTTTTGGTACTGGGGATCGAACTTGGGACCTTGCACTTGCAAGGCAGGCACCAGAACCACTGAGCTAAATGCCCGGCCCTTGGGGTTTATTTTTTTGAGACAGTCTCACTATGTAGCCCAGGCTGGCCTTGAGCTTCTGGTGATCCTCCTGCCTCAGCCTCCTGAATGCTGGGATGATTTGTACTCTTGTAGGAGAATTAGTACTTACTGACTATCTAAATACCACATGCCAGGCATTTTTTCACCCTGTATCATTGAGTTTTTACTAATGACCTGCATGACACATTGAGAGAAGATAATTAAATTTGTGTAAAGTCACAGCTAGTTTATATAGTCATAGTCAGGATTCAAAAGCACTTCATCTGGATGCTAAGGGTTGGTCACCTCTTTTGCTTCATGAACAAATCAACTCTAAGCAATGTGGCTTAAAGAAGAAAAACTGGAAGCCAGGCCTGGTGGTGCACACCTGTCATCCCAGCACTTGAGAGGCTGAGGCAGGAGGATCACTATGAGTTTCAGGCCAGCCTGAACTACATAGTGAAACCCTGTCTCAAAAAACAAAACAAGGGCCGGGGATTAAGCTCAGTGGTTCCACTGCCTGCCTTGCAAGCACGAGGTCCCAAGTTCAATCCCCGGTACCAAAAAATAAAAAATAAATAAATAAAAAACAAAACAAAATCAAAGCACCCAAGAAGAAAAACAAGGTATTTCAAAGCTAAGTTGTTTTATTTACTTTATGTTGGTTTAACAAAGTCCTTCCTTGATATACATACATGAGTACTCTGTCTCAGAGGATCTACTTTGAAATTCTTTTCTCCAGTTTTTAACATAATATTCACATTATGTTGAGATGAGATTTATGTCTCAGAAAGTTAATTTTGATCAGATGGTATGTGGGCTGTGTTTTGAAGGAATTATACAGGAGAGGATTAAGTAATTTGGGTAGCTACTAAATTTTCACTGTCTCTATTAAATGTCCTCTATGTAAGCATTTGTATAAATAATGCTATAAACTAAAAAATAAAGAGCAAAATAAAGGGTAAAAGAAAAACCAAAGTAGTTTCTTGTTTTTTATTAATGAAAATGTCATAGTTATCGATTACATTGTATGAATAGACTTCACTTTATTAATTCATACATGTCAAAATAGGAATCCCACGGAAAGAAAATATTGCGGAGGTGGATTTCATGGCTCTGACAATGTATTTTCAAATATGCAAGTAAGTAAACCTTTTATTTATTTATTTATTTTTTGGTACTGGGGATTGAACTCGGGTCCTTGCACTTGCACGGCAGGCGGCGAAACCACTGAACTAAATCCCTGGCCCTGAAAACCTTGTATTCTTAAAAAAAATTGAATTAAACCTGAAGAGAAGCTAATATGTAAAGTGGGAGACTTAAAAACAAAAGTTATCATTATTTTTCTTCAACAAATTTTTATATAGCTATTTTTCTTTGGACAATAAGGGATTTTGTTAATATTTTATATTCATGTTTATGGATCTGTCAGATAACATACCATTTTACTGTATTTCTAATAATTATTTGTGCTCTATTAAGTGGATTCCCCCACTACAAAAGAAAGCCAGTGATTTATTTGATGAAAAGGTATCATACTTATGACTTGAAAAGAGATAATATCTTACATTTTATTTTATTTATTTTTTCAGTCCTGGGGATTGAACTGGGATCTTGGCACTTAACTACATCCCCAGGCCTTTTTTTTTTTTTTTTTGGAGACACTGTTTTGCTATGTTGCCCAGCCTGGACTTAAACTAGCAGCCCTCCTGCATCAGCCTCCCAGAGTGGTAGGATTACACACATGCTTCCTAGCACTTATAGATTTTCAAAAAATAGTTAAATTGTTCCCTGCAGCACTGTGAGAGGTGGGCAGGGTGAGCCTGATACTGTATACCAGTTCATAGATGAGAAGAGAGTTCACCATCCATTCTGTCCTGATGCCCAAGTCAGGAAGTAGTGAAGCTAAGGGAAATGTTCTAGGTATCTAGATCATACAAGCGATGGAGGTTAAGACAATATCCCACAAGGCCCACCAAAGCATGGTGTTTCCCCCATCTTAACACACTCACAATGCATGTAGTGTAAAGTTGTGCACCAACTCTACACGTAACTGAACTGCACTGACGAAGTACTTTTCTGGCCAACCCAGGCTCTGTTTATCGGCTATGGACCCGGATTCAAGCATGGCGTTGAGGTTGACACCTTCGAAAACATTGAAGTCTATAACTTGATGTGTGGTGAGTGTGAGGGAGGACCTTTCCTCCTGTCGTAGAGCAGGGTTGGAGTAGGACTATCCTAAGTCGGTCACGGGGTGGCAGCTTGGTGGGGATGGTGGTGAAGGACATTTTCATTTTCCTCTTCTGACCCAGACACAACTGAAAAAAAATATGCAAAATGTTGATACTTATTATTTGTCTGACTTTTCATCTGGGGTACACACTGGTAGAATCCAGCACTCAGTGAAGCATGTGCACAGTGCTGGACCCTGGGGTTAAATTAACTCTTGGGTCAGAGTAGCGGTAGAAGCCGAAGTGACAGTGGACAAAATGGGGGCACTTCTGGTAGCAATAATAGTTGGATGGATGGCAATGTCAAGGTTGTAGAAACGTCAGGTCCGTTCTTTATTCAGTCTGTATCTTTTGAACTAGTACTGCTGTTGGGCATTGGGTTTTAAATGTTATGTCCTTTTTCTGCTAATACTGGGCATTTGCAAAACTATTAAATATGTCTTGAGTATAATTCTTTTTTGATACCAGGGATCGAACTTGGGACCTTGCACTTATGAGGCAGGCGGTGGAACCACTAAGCTAAATCCCTGGCCTGAGTATAATTCTTTTAATGGGAGCCAATAACTTTAAATGAACTAATACATCCTAAAATGCTCAAATCCATGCTGATATATAGTTATTCTTTGCTATTATTATTTTAAAATTCAGAAATTTTTTATAGGGAAGTAGAACATACATATCAGTATTTGTTATCAGAATAGCATACTCATAAATAGTCCAAAAGCCAAGAAAGTTTTACAGTTTTAGTTAAAAGGGCAAAAGACTCATATATGTTTTTAAAAGCATACAAATTGTAGGGCCATGGATTTAGCTCAGCGGCACCGTGCCTGTCTCGTAAGTGCAAGGTCCTGAGTTCAATCACCAGTACCAAAAAAACAAAAAGAAAAACGTACACATTGTAGTATGAGTCTGTTTACTTGGTTTTGGAACGTCTAAGTAACTCTTTCCCGTTCCTGGAATTATGCAGACTTACTGAACTTGACGCCTGCTCCAAATAATGGAACCCACGGAAGTCTTAACCATCTCCTAAAGCATCCTGTTTACACCCCGAAGCACCCCAAAGAAGCATACCCCCCGGTGAAATGTCCCATTACAGGAACTCCCAGAGACAACCTCGGCTGTTCCTGTGACCCCTCGGTGAGCAGCTTCCGCAGAGCGAGTGCTGTAGAAATGCTTAGCAAAAGTGGGACATTTATGAGCAGGAGGTGGACCCAGGGCCGTTTCTCCTCGGGGGCCACTTTGTTTTGCTCCTCCAGGCTTGTGCATCTGCAGCTGTTTGTGTCCTTGGGAGCTGTAATGAATTGAGTAAACTCATCACAGTGTTCCCTCACTGCAAGAGCCCAACCCACTGTGGATTTAGGGGAAAACAGCGTTTTTGTATGAAATGGATATATGACACTGCTCTTTTCACTCCTCTGTTCGCGGGAGTTGAAAGTGGCTATCTTAATAATTAGTACCCGGTAAGTATCTCAACAGCTGGTGCGAGAAGATGAAAAATCCCTGACCTGATGAACCAAAGTGAAGTCAGCCATAAAGGTCGCGATGGGAAGGGTTTATTTCAGTCTTCTTTTTGCCTTTCGGACCCGACTTAGGCTCACAGAGAGACAGTTGGAGTAGGGACAAGAAGTATAAAGGAGGATTTGTTTCTGATTTTCATTACCCGCTTTATCCCTACGTGGACAGTCTTGGCCCTATTACAGTTTTCATTTCTCATCCTCCTCACTCACGGAGAAGCAAACGTTTTTCTTACACAAGACTCTTGTGAATCTTATCTTTGTTCTGTGTCGGGTTAATTGAGCCTGATTAAGGAGGAAGTGGTGTGTTATAGAGTTACACTGTGTCTCTCCAGCCCTAACCTAGTTTTATAAACTTGTTTTTAGATTTTGCCCATTGAGGATTTTCAAACGCAGTTTAATCTGACCAGGATGGAAGGTAACACACGTGACTCCCAGCTGGCGGTGGAGACAGCTTTTTCTCAGCAGCCCGAGCCACAGAGAATTGGTCTGGGGCCTTATTTAGGGGGAACCAGCAAAATGAAAGCAATCACAGAGGCCCACAGGGTGAAACATAGCCATCGCTCTGCCTGACAGTCTAAATTGTTAGTCATAAGGCAAGAAGGGCCATTTTACAGTGGAAATGGTGTGTGGCACATTTACTGAAATCTGAGCCACTCTTAGTGAACACTACGGAAGTGCTTTGAAATTTTGAAATTTTTTATGTTTGTCACGGAGCCTTAAATTTTCACTTAACATACTGGTTCAGGCCAGGCGTGGTGGTGCACACCTGTAATCCCAGCCTTAGGGAGGCTGAGGCAAGAGGATCTCTGCAAGTTCAAGGCCAGCCTGAACTACACACAGTGAGACCCTGTTTCAAAAATCCAAAACATACAGACAAGATACCGGTTTGGTATTTATCTCACCAGGTTTTTAATTAATTATAAGAAGTTATACATTGATTTACTTACCTGGGAGCTATTTCTTTGTAACTTCTGAATGAAAATTAAGAACATATAGGTGACTGATGAAATTCTTCAGTCTTGGCTGGGATGTTCAGAATCACTTTGATAAAATCTCTGGCCCTTAAATTACTTGACTCATTGTTCTCTTGCTGGAAGATAGAGGTCAAGTCTGCTTTAATCCTGACACGAACCTACTTGTATAAAATCCCTACTCTAAATGTTGGGATGGGAGAAACTTTTTTTATCTCCAATGTGTCAGAATATAAAAACGGGTGACACTTTCAGAATGGAGTAGATCTGAACTTCAGTATAAGCTTAGGAACTAGATGTTCATGGAAGAAGTATTTTTTTTCCCTGTGAGCTTCTGTTTTCTCCTAAGTAAAATAGATGTATAACTTTAATTCATAGGGAGATGAAAGAATTAATTAGATGATACGAAAGAATTCATCAAAGCATTTGATATTTGGAAAAAGGCAATAAATATCTATATTGTTTCATTCAGTTCAGTTTCACATTTCAGTTCTGAATTTTTTGCTGTGCAGCGTGTCCTGAAGAATGAGTAATTAGTATAATGTTAAAAACATTGGTAATGTAAGTCCTAATTAATTGGAATTTCTAGCAGTTTCATGTAGTATCCCCTTGTAAACTTTGATAACACATAGATCTTTTTTTGTTTGTTTGTTTGTTTTGGTACTGGTGATCAAACTCGGGACCTTGTGCTTGTGAGGCAGGCACCGGAACCACTGAGCTAAATCCCCGGCCCAATAACACATTGATCTTTCAGTATCTTTATAAGCAAAAGTTGCCATGAACCACATTGGTTTTGTTAATTGTTTATGGCCCTGCTTTTTTTTTGTTTTGTTGAGACAGGGTTATGCTTGTTATGTAGCTCATAGTGATCCTCCTGCCTCAGCCTCCTGAGTGCTGGGATCATGGGTATGTGCTACCAAGCCAGGCTGCTCTTTTGATGAGTTGTTGTTGGTTTTTATTTTTATTTTTTTAAGATAAAAACAAGTTTTCAACATGATCAAGTGGAGGAAAGGGTTAGATGAGCGCATTACCATACGTTACTATACAGTGCACATGAACTGCATTTAAACAGTGGCCTCCTTTTCCCTTTGTGGCCCAAGAGAAGAACATTGACCAAGGCGCTTTACCCTTCGGAAGGCCCCGCGTTGTTCAGAAGAGCAGCGTGTGTCTGCTGTACCACCACCAGTTCGTGAGCGGGTACAGCCACGACATCCTCATGCCCCTCTGGACATCCTACACCGTGGACAGAAATGCAAGTATTTGCCGCTTCTCTGGCTGCGTGTGGGTTTCGGGTCACCATTAACAAGGCCTTGACAGCAAGTCTGTCACAGTTACATAGGCCCCAGAATCAGTCCCCAGAGCAGGGGATGCTGGACAGGAAGGCAGAAAGTTAGGTCCCGGGTGTTGGTGTGCCCCTTGCTAGCTGTGTGACTCTCAGACGCCACAGAGCAAACTTCTCAGAGGTGAGAAATATGTACCTCTTTGGTCTTCATTTTTATATTTTAAGATGGTTCATCATTTTTTTTTCCAGTACCAGGGATCGAACTCAGAACCTTGCGTTTTCTAGGCAGGTGTGGTACCGCTGAGCTACATCCCTGGCCCCGGTGCTTTATAATGTTATGCAAGCCATCTTACCTGGTGTCAACTGTCAGATTTTCAGAAACACTTAAGCTATAGGATGCGCTTACAGGGGAGTTGAGAGAGCTTCACTGAAGGTAGTGATTGGATCTAATTAATACAATTACTGTTAACACTCGCTGAGGTTGATAAATGAAAAGGCAGAGTATGTGTGTACATATGTAATTTCTGTGTTAAAAATATATACACATTCACATACTCGTGTAGTTTTTTGAACCTAATTTAAAAAATTTTGAAGACTGCTTCTTAACTCCGTTTTTCACTTGACTTCATGATACATAGCATTCCTCATATTTTGTAGGCACCCCTCATATTTATTGTTGCTTACCACCTTAATTATGGTGGTGATTGATTCAGTTTGAGTTTTCAGTTTTCTGACATAATTAAAGCTGCATGAATTCACCAACGGCTTTTGGCAGTGTAGTTGGGTATGAAAGGTAGACTCAAATCCCTAAAAATCAGCATTTTGCTGAGTAAAAATGCTTAGAACTATAGTTAAAAACATAAACACCATTCGCACAGTATAGGAAGGTGTTCCCATACATACGACAAGGAGTTCGTATCCTGAACACTGTAAAGAATCTTTGACTTTCAGTTGGAAAAAAGATGAATATCCCAGTGGAAAACTGGGAAAAAGGTTAAGAACATGAGCAGACAGACAGCACAAGTCCCCTTTACCTGTTTACAGAGCAACTGTTTCTTCTCCTGGTGCCTAAGACCTGCTGCTTTGTTTCCTCCTCCTCTTCAGGGTGGCTTCTCTACAGGAGACTTCTCCAACTGCGTGTACCAGGACCTTCGGATCCCTCTTAGTCCTGTCCATAAATGTTCCTTTTATAAAAACAACGCCAAAATGAGTTATGGATTCCTCACCCCACCACGTAAGCCTCTTCCTCCCCGCTTCGTCCCTGACCCTGCCTTTCTCTGTTCTCTTCCACACTTCATTTCTTTCCTGTTTTAAAATCCATCTTATAGGGCTGAGCATGTGTCGCTTAGCATGTGTGAGGCCCTGGGTTCTGTCCCTAGTACCTAAGTAAATAAATAAATAAACACAACTAGTCAGGAGAAAAAGGCAAAGCCTTCCATACATTATGGGCCAGTGTACATAACCCTGTTCATTTACTGGTAAAAATTGTGCACCAAGTCTGTGACTGTTGGAGAAATGGAAAGTGTGTAACAAACACTTTATTTTTGTTTGGAGAGTAATTGCTCTGGTGCAGATGCTGTGGATAGAACATTCTTCCCTTTTATCTGATTTATTTCTTTAGAACAGAATTGGGTAGAATCCAGTGAGAGGAGGCATCAGGGTTCTTAGGAAGGAGATAGAACTCTGTCGTCTGAAAAGAAACTGATTTTTCCTAGATTTAGGTGGCAGCTGAGCCTTTTTGGTGTGTGCTGGTCCTGGCGGGGTCCCCAGGCACAGCCCTCTGGCCCAGGCGCCCTGGTTTCCCCAGTGGTGGGGAAGACACCTTAGGGCTGCCTTAGACCAGGCAAAGATGCCCGAGGTGCACGAAGTCCCTTAGCATCCTGCAGGGCCGAGAAAGTGTCCACAGCCAGAAGTGGGCGGGCCGCTGCATCATCAAGAGACAGGTCCAAGCCTCAGGCCACACGGAGTGGCCCTGCGCCACCAGACAGTGGCGGGGCTGGGGGTGCTCTGGGCGGAAGGTGCTGCTCCAAGCTGGCGAGGCTCAGCCCTCTCACTGTGAAGGCCTTAGGGAAGGAAGACTCAGCTCCATGCACCTCAGCTGAAATTAGGCAAGAGAGGGAAAGCTTGAATGTGTTTCTTTTGAGGATCTTCTTATTGCAGTTTCCATCTCTTTGATAAATTGTCTTGAAGAAGGAAAAGTTTAAAAATGTTAAAGGGCCCAATCAGATGCATTACATTTGACCTTCTTTCAGTACCTGAGAGGGTTTTACTGATGCAAGAAGTTGCTCAGCTAATTTTGTTTAAATCCCCCCAGCCTACACCATGAGAAACTCTAATTTTAAATGTTGTCTGTGAAGAATGAAAAATTGTTCTGTGTTTTTCTTTTTAGAACTAAGTAAAGATTCCAGTCAAATATATTCTGAAGCGTTGCTTACTACTAATATTGTGCCAATGTACCACAGTTTTCAAGGTAAAAAATTCTAACTTTATAATTTCAGTACATACGGGTATAATTTATATTTAATAGGATTTGTGGACTAAACTCAACAAGTAAATATCAAATACATTCTTGAAGCTTTGTTTGGTTCTGCGGCCTGCTTTGCAAGCACAGGGTCCTGAGTTCGATCCCTGGTACCAAAAAAACCCAAAATCAAAACAAAACAAAAAATTTAAAAATTATATATATTTGGGTTAGGGGTTAGGGCTAGGGTTCCATGTATTTCAACTTTTCGTCTATTTCCCAATTTAACAAATTGGAAATTCCCAGTAATTGTTTTTATTTTAAAAATGAATAGAGTTTACATCACCATTAGCTATTGTAGCATTTCACTCCTACGTGCAAAAATACACATTCACACTTAAACTGATATATGAATATTAATGTAGAGCTTATGAGATGTTTTAGTTACACCCATAACACTTGTGACTAGTTTCACAGGGAAAATTCAGATATTAACAGTGAGTCTGAATCATTTCCCTTGTTTGGGACAGCATACTGCTTCATGATAACACATGTTCCTCGGCTCATCAGGTGCACAATTGGGAATTCACAAAAAATGAGTTGAATCCAGCATCTGGCTGTAGGTCCATCCAAAGGGCAGAGCTGACAATGGATTTGGCAGCTCACACTGGACTTTATCTGCACGTATCGCAGCTGCTGATGTGGGTCATAGTGGTGGCTGATTCCCCAGGATCGCGTGCTACCGTTGTTCTCTGGAGACCGCTGTCTTCCTTCTTGTTCCAGTTATATGGCACTACTTCCATGACACTGTTGTGCCGAGGTATGCGGAGGAGAGGAACGGCGTCAACGTGGTCAGCGGGCCTGTGTTTGACTCTGACTTCGACGGACGCTACGACTCTGCCGAGACTCTGAAGCAGTAAGAACGGTGTTGTCGCTTACAGGTGGCTGTCGGTGGCGTGGGCATCTCGTGGGGCTGCAGGACATTTTCCATCCAGCACAGGTCACCCCTGTGTACATGACATTGCTGACCAAGACTCAGGAAATTGGATTTGGATGTTTGGCTCAGTGTTGGGTAAAATCTTCTCTCAGTGTGAGAGTCGTGTTTCTCTCCCAGCCAGTCAGGCTGAGGACTTCTTGAACTCCCCTGAAATGCTGTGCTCAGGGTTGAGCGCCTCCATGGAGCCAGGTGTGGGGATCCCAGTGTGCTAGAGCTCTCTAGCGTGGCTGCCAATACCACAAGCAGTTACAGATCTGCAGCGCCTCTCTGGTTTGGTGGCCTTGGGTTAATGTCCCAGCCTTCAGTCAACTCCAGCTGGATGCAGTGCTAAGGCAGTCACACTGGGGAAGCCATCAGCGGTGTTGTTTATGAAATAGGGGGCGGGTGCATGTTTTAGGAATTCGTTGGTCCCCCCGCCCCCTTTTTTGTGGTGCTCAGGATGAAACCCAGGGCTCTGCTCCCTCTAGGCAAGCGCTCTACCTCTGAGCCACCTTACGCTTTATTAGAACTAGAATTGCAAGAGTTTTGGGAGCAGTTTTGCTATTAAGATCACAAGACAAAGATTGAAGAGTCCAGGGGGATCCAACCCCTCTGAGAACTTTCTCCTGGGCTGACTTAGGGCTGCTGTTTACCCCCCAACATCTGGAAGCACGTTGGGCTGCAAAACCCTAGGCTTTCACTCTGTCGCATGGAGCAGGAAGTTCCCATGCAGCAGCTCACAGGCCATAACAGCTGGACAGAGACCTGCGTAGGCTTTCCCCTCGCAGCCTGGGCTGGATCCATGAGCTGCCATGTCTTGAACATGGCGATTCCACATGAGATCTTCTTCGCAGGCAGCCGTCCCAACTGTCTTCAGTTTTGAAAAATGCGGAAGAAAACAAAGAAACACAGCTTTAAAGCAAAAGAAACAGAGTTACACTGAAGTAGATGGATCACATGGGCCATCCTCAATAGGTTGCAATTTTTGAAAAAGCTAAGCTGAAGTTTTTGGACAGAAAAATCCAGTTAAAGCAAAGGAGAATGCACAACAACATCCCATCTGATGGGATGAAAATCCCTAACCCACCCTCTCTCTGTCCATTTTTTGTCATAACTGCATAAAGACTATCAGTAATGACTTAGAATCTTATAAGTATTCAAAATATTTTTCTGTAGTGTTTCAATTCTAGAGTCTTTAGACAGGGTTGAAAAACATTTCAAATTTCAATAGAAAATAAAAATGATTTGGAGCTTCTTACTATTAGTCTCAATCTGGCAGAATACATTGGGGCATTATGATTACCTATAATGTGTTTCATTATTATTTCATATAATATGTTTCATTATTTGACTCAGTTTGAATTTGAGATGCTCTGTTGACATGTTCTTTAAAAATAGTTCTGTTCAGAAAGACCTTGCCTATGCCTGTGACTTCAAGAATTCTAGCTATTTTTTTCTTTCAGTAGATTGTTTCTGTCTTAATATTTAGGTCTTTGAGCCGTTTCAATTTTAGTTTAGTGCATGGTAAGAGATATGGGGTTACCTTTCATCTGCTGCATGTGGATAGCTAGTTTTCCAGCACCATTTGTTAAAGAGACCATCTTTCCTCCAGCGGATGTTTTTGGCCCCTTTGTCAAAGATCAGGTGGCTGAATCTGCCTGGGGTCACTTCTGTGTCCTCTATTTTGTTCCATTGATCCACAAATCTGCTATGAAGAAGGGTAAATATAAGTCATTTGTGGGCAAGTGGACACATCTTGAATCCATAATGTTAAGTGAAATAAGTAAGATACACAAGCTTAAATATCATATGGGTGTTTTGGTTTGTTTTTTGGAGACTGGGTCTCACTTTGTAGTTCAGGGTGGCCTTGAAATTATTGTATGGCCCAGGTCAGTTTTCCCCTTAGAGCAACTCTCCTGCTTCAGCCTCCGGAGTGCTGGGATTGCTGGCATGTGTCACCATGCCCAACACGTATGATTTCTCTTATAAGAGAAACTCAGAGTACAAATAAATTAAAGAATAAAATAAAAACCGACAAGAGGAAATGGGGTGTGGATCTTTTGCAAATGGGAAGGGAACTGAGAGATGTTGTGAGGGGAGAGGACAAGAGGAGAGGACATAAAAAGAATCAAGCTGTGGTGCACATGCACCGACTCCCCATGGTGAGTGTAAAAGTGCTGCAAACATGGGCTAATAAAAAAATTTAAAAAGAAAGTTGTTTCTACCTGAAGGTGAATATTGGCATATTTTCCAGAAACAGCAGACTCATCCGTAACCAAGAAGTTCTGATTCCCACCCACTTCTTCATTGTGCTCACCAGCTGTAAAAATGCGTCTGGGACCCCGCTGTATTGTGGAGACTTAGATACCACAGCTTTCATCCTGCCTCACAGGCCCGACAACCGCGAGAGCTGTGCTGTAAGTAGCGCCCTTTTATCTCTCTCCCACCCATGTGGAACACGAGTGTGCTTGCATGTGCATCTACACTGGGGATTGCTATGGGAAAGAGCACGACTCTGGAGTGACCTTGGACTGGGAAATTGCACAGTGTGTAATGTGATGGCTGATCGTCACGTCACGTGATAGGAAGTTCAGGGATTCAGTCTTGGGATGCTACTTTGGGTCAGCAGCACCATTAGGGATCCAGATCATTCCTGTCTCTCCAGAAAGCTCCACCACTCTTAGTGTGTGGTGGAAGATGGCTCTTGTTTCTCTAAATTTCATCTCAATTCTCTGCTCTTCTGGCAAAAAGGAGGAGGCAGCCACAGGGTTATGCTTCCATCTCATCAACTGAAAGATTTTTAAGTTCCACGAGCCAGGCATTGAGTTCTTTTTCCAGCTCTACCAGTCCACCATTGTAGATGAACACATTTTTATCAAATTCTATAATGGAAATGTACCTAGAAGATACTAAGCATTGGACTTGAACCAGAGAGAGGATTGGTTGAAGGTATATTATACTTACTTACTGATTGCTTCTGTTTCACAGCTGAAGTAGTAAGGATGGGGTGGCTGGGTATTAGCCTCAGGGAGCAGTTGACTGCCATGGATTTCTGAGTCTTGTTCCTCTGAGTGTTGGGACAGATGCCAAGTACATGCTGGTCAAGGACTCTGTTGTACCCGGGTTGTTCCCCTTAGAGCCAGAGTGAGGAGTGGGGCTGGGAAGAGACTGAAGGTGAGGTGGTGGGCAGATGGAGGCTGGTGGGAAAATGGAAGTTGTTGGTCTATTTTAATACGAAAAGTCTGTATTTATCACTTTTGACCAACAGTGTCCCAAGGGTGCATGGATCTTTTTTGACAGATGTCTAGATGTCTTTAGAGTACAATCATAGCCCACCAGCCTATGAACACCTCCTTCACCTGACCAACCACAGTGGCCCGTTTCAGAAACACACTGCCATGTGCATGTATGATTTCCACCTCTGCTACCCGATTCAGCTATCGCCTCTGCTTCCATTTGTCAGCATATCTGCCTTTAATTCTTTCCTGATCTCATCTCCTCTAAGATTTTCCTCTGTCAGCAGAAGTGAAATTGTGCTTTATGTTTCTCCCGATCCCATTTCTCATGCAACTATGTTGATAATGCATTCTCATAAAAACTAGTATTTGTGTGGCACAGTTGAGCACACCATTACGCTTGGTCTTCACATCCACCCTAGAAGGGATACAGGTAAGGGAATCAAGATCCAGATGTTAAATAATCTGCATTGGTTGACCTGATGAGGTAACCATAGAACCAGGATTTGCATCCAGGTTTCTTCACAGTAATTCCTATATTCTTTCTACCGTCATAGTAGTTTTAGTTTTCTAGTTGTTTTTTAACCCCACACTAATGATGTTCCTTGAAATCTCTGTGGACTGCATAACTATTTGTTAAGGTATACTTTCTTTTTTCCCCAAAGTTGACTGATCTAAATAAGCATACACGTTTACTTAGAGAATGAGCTACTCAAATGTGGGGGTGGGTTATGCCTAACAAATCTTACAGCAGCTGCCATTTCCAAAATCTCATAACAGATGAAGTGGGAGAGGTGGAGAGCTGATTGAAGGAAGCGATCTGTGTGTTCCCTGGTGACTTCTTTATTTTCCACCCTCATAGCATGAGAAGAGTGGATCTTCATGGATTGAAGAGTTGTTAATGTTACACAGAGCACGGGTTACAGATGTTGAACACATCACCGGGCTCAGCTTCTATCAAGAAAGAAAACAGCCAGTTTCAGACATTTTGAAGTTGAAGACACATTTGGCAACCTTTAGTGAAGAAGACTGATTTTTTTAATTCCAAAAAACACCGAAATAATCAGAAAGCACACCATGAGTCTTTCTGAGAGAATCTCGTGTTTTGCACAGTCCGGCACCCACCAGGTCACATCGTTTAGGAACTGGCGAGCAGAGTTAGAACCAGGACTCCTCTGTGATGCGAAAATCTCAGGGAACCTTGGGGACTCAGTGGGAGGTGTTCCTGTTGTGCCTCACACAGTCGTAATGTGCAAGAATTGTGCTCATTATTCTTCTGAGAGGAAAGACAGACCTTGTCCCTAACTGCTCTTCTACTTCTCTTCACAGAGAAATAGCTGTGAAGACCGTCTGGACACCAGATATTAGCATTGCATTATCGACAATAAACCTTTATGGTGTTGGCAGACTCTAGACTAATTAATGAGACCGGAATGGCCTCTGTTACATTGGTATCTCTACAAGAATTTAAAAGTGGTTCTGTATTCTTTTTAATTGGATTTTTTTTACTTTTAATCAAAACATTAACGGAAGCCAAAATATTTCTGAGATCCTCTTTTTACCTTTCCTGTATACTCCTTCAAAAGCCAAGTTATTAATCTTGTGAGGTTTTAAAAATTGTGACTGGAGTTCTTCAGATTTAATGGCTGTAACAAGTTAAACTTTGAGTGAAGACTTGAGTTGAGTGTATCTACCTATTATAAAATTTTACATTTGTACAAAAACATTCTATTCTGTTCCCTGGTAATTGGTAGAAGCTGAAAATAGCCCTGAATTTGGTTCTTTTAGTCTGTTAAAGTTGGGTCTTTTCTGGGTGAAACTTTAGGGAACTTGTCAGCATGTGTGGGTGGCATCAGTTGTAGAGATGGTAGGCATAACCATTTCTCCAGGCATGAAGATGACCCGGCAGCTGCAGAAGAACACGAAAAGAACATGTCACATAGTACCTAACATTGTCTCTACGGACTTGACAACTGACAAGTCAAACTTGACTTGCCCCATTTACACTACACTTTCATTCCAACTTGTGAACCTTCAAAGGCTATTTCAACATCGAGGCTGTTTGAGTCTAATTTTGTGTAAATACACCAAAGATTTTTATATGTCCTTCCTATGATGATCTTTCTTCAGCTGTCACAGGGGAGCCACAAAGACCTGCAGATAATATAATTTGCAACTGAAATATATTAAATAACTTAGAAAGTTTCAGAGAGTTTTTGCTTTAGTCCCATAGTTTCCCGAGGCTGTGTGTGTGTGTGTGTGTATTTCAGTGTATTTTTCTGTTTTAAAGTTCAATGATTTTTTTCTACATCTAGTCCATTCTGCTGTGGAACCTAGCCATTGGTTTTTATTTCATTTATGGTATATTTTATTTCTCAAATTTCCTTTTGTTTTTTTTCTTTATATCTTCTAGTTGCTGAGAACTTTTATCTCTTTACTGAGACTTTGTATTTCTTCATTTGTTTCAAGTGTGTTTGCCATTTCCTGTTGCAACATTTTTATGATAGCTGCTGTAAATCTTCATCAGACAGCTCCAATATCTGTCATTGCAATGTTTGCATCTATGAGTTGTCCTTTTTTTTGCATTGCAATGATTTTTCTGCTTCTAGATATGAATAATTTTTAATTGAAAACTGGATGTTTTAGGGATTCTATTAAGACTATTGATTTTCTTTTTTTTTTTCCTTTTTTTTTTGTACCGGGGATTGAACCCAGGACCTTGCCCTTGCCAGGCAGGTGCTGTACCACTGAGCTACATCCTTGTCCCTTAAGACTATTGATTTTAGCTAGGCATGGTAGTGCACACCTGTAATCCTAGCACTCAGGAGCCTGAGGGAGGAAGATCACCACGAGTTTGAGGTCAGCCTGGACTACATAGCAAGACTCTGTTTCAGAAAAAAAAAAAAAAAAAGGAAAGAAAGAAAAAGAAAAAAGACTACTGCTTTTATTTAAACCCTTTGCTTTTGCCAGTTTTCTCTGACAGTATCCTAACAGGGAAATTGGGGGCGCTGCCTCCTGGGTGTGGTTAGGAGTCCAGGTTCCCCACTCAGCCTCCACAGACACTTGGGCTGAGTAGGCTGGTGTTCAGCTCCCCGTCACCTCTCTATCGGTGCCGCCCTAGCAGGGATGCACCTGCACCAGTTCCCGCTCACACACGGTCTCTGCAGATGCCCGGGACTGCGATTGTGGGGAGGCTTCCTTAAGGCCCCAGCTCTGCCTTCCACGACACTCAGCTGGCAGGGCCTGGGCTAGGGTCCGTGGCACTGCCCGGGAGCAGAGCAGCCTGTGTGTCTGTCTTGCTGGCTCTGCCCCTTTTCTTGTCCTTTGGCTGGAGAGAGCGGGGTGTTTCTAGATTGCTGCCTTCCCAGGTTAAAGTCTGAGCTCTGTGAGCTAAGAAGAAATCTCAGTACGCTCAGCCCAGTGCTAAGAGGAGAGTTCTTTATATCCTGAGGTCCCCGCCCATCTTCTTTCTACCACGAGCGTCCTCCTGTGTTTGCTGGTATATAATATCCAGGCCTTTTCTGCACTTGGCAGAAAGACTGGAAAAATAGTGACTTCCTCTCCATGGCAGTGTCTGATTTGTGTCTATCCCTCAACACACGGACGCACAACCAACTCTACCTAAAGCACCTTAGCAAAACTGAATTAAATGGCGAGATGCCTGCTGGTTACAGTCCTTACAGCCTTGAGGAGGGAGTGCAGGAGGCAGTGTGAGTGACCTCTGAGAGGGAGCAGGGCCCGAAGAAAGGACACCCGATGCTTCCCAGCCTTTGAGCTAAGACTTGAAGGATGAGTTGCTTCTGCCCTGGGGAACACGGTCAAAAGGGACACTGGAATATCCCTTGGAGTATTAGAATCAGAGTGGTGTTTTCCCATGCTGCCACTACTTCTAACAATTCTAGAAGTGTCACAGTGGCCAGTCTGTAATGTATGACTGCTTTCTTTCTCTTACTTCATTCTAACAACTGCTCTTAAAGGAAATATCAGACTGACATTTGCCATGCTGATTGTTTCTGCAGAGTGTATCTCTTCCTGCTTAGCTTTGTTTCTGTTACTCTTATATTGTATTCCATTTTTTCTCCTTTTCTTTCTGTGAAAAAGACTTCTTTTATTATTGCATCAGTTTAAAACATGGACAGGGACTGGTTTCTGTTCCCCCATTTGGAAGGGTAAGTTCGCAGAACACCCAGTCACCGCCCCCGCCCCAGGACTCATGGGGAACTGGGTCCAGGCACAAACCCCCTCTCACATTTGAGTATCAAATCATTTTCATGCCAAAGTTTATAGATGCCCAAGCCTCATAGCTGAGCAATGTATTATTTGCATATAACATATGCATCTCCTCCCACTTATATAATAAACCATCTCTGGGTTACTTATATTTCATGCAGTGTAAATGTTGTATTGAGCAATTGTTTCTACCCAGGGAATCAGAGGAGAGAAAAGTGTCTGCCGCTGTTCAGTGTAGATGGGATTTCCTTTCCATATAATTTTGAGCTGCAAATGGCTGGGCCACAGATGCAGAGCTCATGGATATGGAGGGCTGACTTGGGGGAATGCCTTTATCTTCCCTTTCCAACAAAGAGCTATTCTTTGCTTTTTCAAGTGCAAACCGAAACCCCCCTCTTTTATCCTGAATTTTCACGTCATACCTCAAGTCAGTACTTCTTAAATGAAGTGAGTAACTTTTACATATACTTCATTCATGGCAGAAAAAAAGAACCAGGCAGAATTTAAAAATATTTTTGAGAATCAGAGAAAACAGGACAGACCTTCAAGGGAAGAAGGCAGATGTTTACAGGTGTGTCCCAACAGGACGCTGTGCTACCCCTTCGTTGGGCCCTGTGTCTCTGAGAGGAGAGGTGGGTAAGGCGGGACCAGCCCCCTCTCCTGGAGAGGTTGTTAGCTGCCCTTCAAGTTTTCCTGTGTTGTGGGCAAGTGCTTACCTATTAAAGGAACTGGCATTTGAACTTTGAAACTGAATGTGGCGATTGCACTTCACGCTGAAGCTTGTCACAGGAATTTGGGGGCGAGTGAGCACTTTCATAAGCTGTAAGTGGAGTTTATGATGGCTGCCATCCAAGGACGCTTCCCCTGGTTTTTGGCCAGTCTACATGCTGTAAGAGAGAAATGAGTCCTCTACAGAATTTGGGCATCTGTGAGCTAAGGATGTGGATTCACACACAAAGCTTAGAGGTACCAGTCTTGGTTGCCTTCCAGGGTGGATGTGTGTGTGGAAGGCAGGGCGGGGACAGGAGGTGGGTGTGCAGCTCATGGACTCTGGTACTAAGTGCCAGGCCTGTGAACCATTAACCACATCAGAGAGGAAAAGCATCCAAAGTCCATTTCATGTTTGGAGAGTAAGCATTTCTAATCTGGGCTATCTCCTTGCTTTCAGTATTTGAGTTACTTTTAGTTGTACTCTCTGGCAAAACCACGTGTCCAGTGCATGTAACAGCCTAGGGACTGACACCAGACAAGAAGTGTCCAAATTGTCACTCAGGGTCCCTTCCATGTGAAATTTTTTGCACTTATCCTTTTCATTATAGGTAAACAAGCTGAAGAAAAAATAAAGATGTTTACTGGAAATCATATCCAAACCAGAAACCCCAAATGCCTAAAATGTGTCTTAGTCTGATAGAAAAGAATCAGTTTCTGGAATTAAAACCATGGGATCTCAAAAGGAAGTGACGTAAAACAAGCTTCTTTCACTCCCACCCAACGCTGTTGCAATCAATTTATACTTGTCCCCAACTTATCAATTTTAGGGTTTTATTGAGACTAATGCTTTGACTCAAAATTCACTTCTAATTTCCTTCTATATAAGAAATTCAGAACTCAGAATTCACTCCTGCTTTTACACAGGAATGATATAAAGCAATTTAATAAATTTATCAAAAGATTTTTACAATACCTGTTCATTATTTTGCTCCATGTCATCCAGATATTTTTCACTATCAAAAAGTGTTTATGGAAGCAATTATGTGGAGGAAATAAGATAGGAGTCTCAGAACTCAAAGTGTATGTTACTGAAAACTTGAAATGATTTTCAATGAGACTGGAATTTCTTCAGTCCAGTGAATGGATCTCAGTGCTCCGGTTATCACAGATTTTCTTCAGTTGACACCTATAATTTTGGACTCTCTAGCATCAACTCTTCTGTTCCTTGACACAATGTCACTGTCTGGTATGAAGAGTTGGTCGCTTGTATTGAGGCACAAACAGGAAGAAGGTGGTAAATCTGTGGATAGCACCACTGTGTCACTCACTAGTGCACTTTAAGACACAGGAACTAAATTACATTTGAGGAGACCAGAGTTGAGCAGATTCCAAAGGTGCAAGGCACAGGTCACGTGAGCAGACCTGTGGCTGTTAGGTGACGTCCTAAGGCGAGCCCTGCCATGCAGTTGCGCAGCACAGCTGTAGATGTGTGATGCAATTTACTGCTGTTCCATATTGTTACAGTGTCGGTAGATGACGCTGTGACTTACAAAGAAGTTGTATCTATACCCCAGACACTAAATGCCAATACAGAGCTTGCTAAAGGCAGTCTGTAAACATAAAAGGAAATAAAATAATGTCAGGACGTTCTAGTTATAAGTGCAAGAGGATCATTAGCTTCTAAGGGGCTTCCGGGGAGCTGGCAGGGTCCTAACCTAGAGAATACCATTACCACACTTCATGAGGACATTGGGACTCCCCAAACCTGCGCTGTGTAAGTGTTTCCCAGCCCGTGGCTCTCAGCTAAATGCTCCAAGACTGTATCCTTGGAGCTTATTTCCTGAGACTGTAACTGATGAGAGGTTTAGTCCTTGTTTCACAAGAGCTACAACTCAGGACTGTGGGATTTTTCTTCCAGAGGCTGTGACTTTCATTTTACACTTAGCATCTCTTGCTTCTATTGATGTATTTATCGTCCTGTCTCCAGAGTCACCAGTCACTGAGAAGAGATGTAATCTTTATATCCACTGTTTCTAGCATGGGTGCCTGGCTAGAATGTTGTTGCTCCATAGAAATCTCCAGATGAATGAAAACCAATGGGACAACCCTACCAAAACACCATTATGGTAGAGAAAGCATCACAGGTCACACTTACGTGGCCAGAGGACAGTTCACAGGAATGAACTATTTTTTGGTTTTTAGGTGCCAGATGGTATTTTTCAATGGGATACTTTAGGAAACTTGTTTATAGACAGCTCCTTAGCGCACAAGGCAGAACGTTTACAAATAATGAAAGACAAAGAATGTCTTTCAAGAGCCGTTCACCATTGTCCCAGGGTCACCGTCCTGTGGAAAGTCTGCTACTTTGTGAGCCGAAGAAGAAAGAAGGAATTTTTCAAGGTTTCAATGTTCACGTGGACCTGTTCTACGAGCAGGTTTTCTCCCGCAGCCCACACTGCCTTGGGCACTCAGCGGCCAAGGTGGAGATCAGTGGGGCGGTCTCTCCCCTCAGCCCCCAACCCCAGGCCAGACCTTCTTCTGGGGGAAATCACAGCAGTGTGGGAGGAAGGAGACACGGGGCAGCCACCACGCGGGACATCTGGAGCAGACAAGTCCACGTGTCTCACCAGCAAGAGAGACATTGTCTCGCTGCCCCTTCCTGTCTTGAAATGCAGGGCGCTGGTTACGATTCCCGTGAACTAAAAAGTGTTGCAAGTACCTGAAAGCATCCCCCCCCATCAGGTGTCTCAGGTTGATAGTGAGAAGGAAATAGACAACTAAATAAGTCACTCACAAGCTCACATAGTACACGGTTTCTCTTATATGAGAAACCCCAAATATAAATAAAGGGCAAAATAAAGGACAGATAATAGGAAGTAGGGAGATGGATCGCTCTCAGATGGAAAGGGCATCAAGAAATGGAAGAGGCGGTAGGAGGGAGGGGATGAGAAAGAACGAAGCTCTGTTGTGCAGGTGCACCAGCTCCCCACGAAGAATGTGATCGCTCTGTTCTGCACACGCGTACTAATAAAATTGTTTGTAATTTAAAAAATGAAAAGAAACTTAAGTTTTCATAAACCCAATGAATCAGTGATGTAATAATATAGACATCCCGAAAAACAGAGCGATATGACAATTGCAATAATATCCAGATGAGGTCATTCGAGAGATGCAGATGAAAACAACGCTGAGATTCCACCTCACCCCAGAAAGAATGGCTGCTATCAAGACATCAACCAATAACAAATGCTGGCGCGGGTTATGGGGAGAAACGAACCCTTCTCCCTTGTTGGTGGGAGTACAGACTGGTGCAACCACTGTGGAAATCAGTGTGGAGATTCCTCAAAGAACTAGGGCTGGTGGTCCCATTTCACCCAGCTATTTCCCTGCTGGGTATTTTCCCAAAAGAATTAAAAGAATCATACCACAGTGATATATGTGCACCCATGTTTATAGCAGCACAGTTTGTAATAGCTAAAGCTTGGAAACAGCCCAAGTGCCCATCAACTGGAGACTGGATAAAAAAGATGTGTTTTTTTTATAAAATGGAGTACTACTCAGCCATAAAGAAAGAGAAACTAGAGTCACTTACAGCTAAATGGATGCATATTAAGGCCATACTCTTAAGTGAAATAAATAGGACACACGTGTAAATACCGAATAGTTTCTCTAGTGTGAGAAACTGAGAGTGTAAATAAGGATTAAAAGGATTAATAACTAATAATAGATACTTTGAAATAGGAAAAGGTCCAAAGGGGTAGGGGTGGTGGGAGGAGGTGGGGAAAGGAAAGAATGGAAAGGAAAAATTATGAGAAAATAAAATAAAATGGAAACGAAGTCTTTGTAAATAGGGAAGGGTGGAGGGGGTGAAGGGCGCACAGGTAATGGGGAAAAAATAAGAACCAAGATACATCATGAACAGGTACAAGCACCCAGTGATAAATGTAAATGTATTGTATACATAAAATGTACGATTAAAAGAATTTAATCAAAAAGAAAATATCTAGATGATTGTCCTGAATAAGTTATTATACTTTCTCAACTATTTTCTCAATTCTTGAAAATATTAACCCTAACCCTGGCTGACAAGCAAGGGATTTGAACCCTTTAGGTATATGGCAAAGCTCATATATCTAAATATTATGTCATGTTGCCTCTTCAAAAAACACACCAGAAACACTCAAGTTCATCCATCAAATTCTACTCCATCGGTAGCAACATTCCAAGCAACAGCAAGATTTATTAACAGTGCATTCACAGCATGAAATGACACCAATCAATCAAGAATCCCTAGCCGGGGATTTAGCTCTGGTTCTGGCGCCTGCCTCCCAAGCACAAGGTCCTGAGTTCAATCTCTGGTACCAAAAAAACCCACCAAAAACCCAACAAAAAACCAAAACACTTAAAACCAAAGAAAGGAAACTGGAAATTAAAAAATGGGCCAAAGTCCGGATTAAAACACGGATAGGAAACAAATGCAAAGAACTAGAAAAAGTCTTATCATTAATTAAATCAAGGAGATGCAAATGATACCATTCTGTGCATGTCCAGGGGAAAAGATGAAAAAGATGCAGCTCCTAAATTTGGGGAAATTGGAGTTATACACAGCCACACCTGGTGGAGGTGCGGTGGCCTGAGATTTGTGTTCCAAAGAAAATTAGAATATAAACATTCTCAGCGTCATTGCTCCTACTTACGTATGTGGTAGCCAGCTCCAAACAGCAGCAAACAGCCGGTTCCCAGGGGTGGGCTGGCTGCAGCTCAACACCAGCAAGCGGTTTTCTCTCACTGTGTTGGTGTTTGCCGTAGTGAAAAGTTAACGCAGTTCCCAAAGGCTGGCTCTGGCTTGGATTCTGCTGCGTTGCACAAGGCATTTCCTGTTTATCATCTTCCTACCGCCTGTAGCATTCTGCCCGGATACCTGCCCCAAGGAGGAAGGGAGAATCTTTCTGTTTTGGGCCTGACTTCCCACTTCTGCCAGGGATGTAGTTCCCCAACCATTAGCCCCTCTCTAGGGAAACACTCTGCACCGCCTCCCGCTGGGCCGCTCCATCCCTCTGCTTGCGGGTGCAGTTGCTCACTGCCCTCCTCTGCTGCTTCCTGCACTGCAGGTTCCAGGGCCCCGATTGCCTTCCTCAGCAACCTCTGCCTTCCTTTTAAAGCCCTTGTAAGTTGGCTTCTGACTACTTCCCAAGACCTCCCCACCCCCCATAACTCCCCTTTGAAAAATAGAGTATTTTCCAATTGACAGATTTTTATTTCTATTTTGGGAATTAAAAGGAAGAAGGTATAAGGAGGGAAACAGCAATCATTCATACACTGCACCACGGCTAACATCTCGTTTTATTAGCTTCCCATTTTTATTAGCTTCTTTTAATATCGTTTTCTTTTGTGTTTGGATCTTTATGATTATTTCAAACAGCCCTATGTGCCCCAATTCCATGTTACAGTGAAGTCTATGCATTCTTGGCTACTTATAATTTATATCATTTTAATACATTTACATTTCGGGACTTACTTTTTCTTTCTAAACTTCACCTTCTGTTTTATCAGATTTCCTTTGAGCTTTGTATTTGCTGAGTTCACCTATCTATGAATCTGCTTTACAGTGTGAAGCATTTCCGTGGTTTCCCTTACTCTTTGACATATGTTCTCTTCTAGGCAGAGTAGGTTCCTGCCTCCCACTCTTACCTCCTTGTACCCTTCCTTTCTTCTTTTTTATTTTTCACCCCTTGAATATTTGCTAGGTTTCATGCTATTTCTTCTTAACCTAATCAGGATTCACTGTATTTACCTAAAGTGAGCCGTAGCCATCTCCCACTGGGGTCCGTGTCGGGCGGTTCTCCCTTTAAACTACAGAGTCAGGGAGGGGCATTCTACTTCCTGTCGGCTTTCTGGAGGCCCAAGTGCAGGGTAGGGCAGTAGAGGGAGAAGACAGGGGCCGAGGCTGTCTTCAGGCTCTCTGTGACATTTGGGTTCTTTCTCTTCTCAGAGGTTGTGTCTCACACAAAGGTCTTCCTCGCGGGAGTGATAGCTAATTTCCGTGCTGGATCTTCAGACCTCAGCCCACTTCCCCGATTTATTACATTTCCAGGGAAGGCCACATTTTCTCTTTTCCTATTTTGCCACATTTTCTCCTGAAACAGTTTCCATTATGCTCCCCTGCACCACTGTAGCAGACGTTTGCTCTTTCTGTTCTGCCTGCCCATTTGCAGTGTGACCGTGCCCTTCCCTCCATGATTGGAGAGTCGGTTTCCTGTCTCCCGAATGTGGACCAGCCCTGTGACTTTCTTTGGCTAATAGGATGTGGCAGAGGGGACACTTGGTAATTTAGGAGGCTGTCCTTAAGAGGCCTTGCGGATTCTCTGCATTAGGCTCCAAAAGTGCTCCTCCCACCATGTAAGGAAGCCCTGTTTGAACTCCTGAAGGATGAGACTGTAGGAAAGGGCTTAGGCTCATAGCCAGCACCAGTATCCATACCCTCCAGTTCCAATAAAGCTGCCAGATGAGTATCCCTGTGTGAGCTGTCCTGGGCAGGACCATTCAAAGAACCACCCGGCTGAGCACAGCTATGGACTCGTGAGAAATAAAAAGTCATTCTTTTAAGCTACTCCATCTTAGTGTGATTTTTATACAACAGTGTGGAAGAACATGGCATGCGAAAGTATTTTGTACTGTAAGCATGACTTAGATCATGTGGCATTGGCCTTGGGGCCGGGCAGTGGCAGAGAAAATGGTGACGAGACTGAGGAAAGCAGTGTCTGTGTTACGCACTGTGTAGTGTTAGAATTATTTCAAATCTATCCCAGTACTAACTTGGGAGACTGATAATATACCTAATGAACTTGAGGGTCTGGCTACAGAGATTTTCCGGTAGAAGTTGGAACTGTTCATTGGCGTCTGCTATTTGTATATAATAAAATATTGAAGGACAGATGAGCTAAATTAGATACCTTAGGACTTACACATCCAACAACAGAGTTATTAACTGAGACATTAACTAAATCAGACAACTAATTTTTATCCCTAACAGTCAAAAAAGGAGAAAGGTAAGGGTAGCTCTATGGGATTATACAGAAGTTAGAGGTATAGGCGAATTACCTTTGTTCCTACTTGAGAAAATTGCTGAGAACCATCTGAACTCTGAGGGGCAGTGTGAGAGCCAAGTCTGGCTTGGCTTCTGTCATTCAGAATTTTGTATATTTCTGAAGCTTTAATTCTGTTCCTCCTATTAAAAGGGGGGAGGAGTATCAACCACACTTCTGCTATACACATTCTCACAGTGCAGTTCATCACTTTTAGCCCAGTTTGATCTCTCTCCCTCGGCTGGTGCGGACAGACTTAATTACGGTCTTCTCAAGAGAATGCGACACCATGGTTCTTGAACATTAATGTCTTGAAACTCAGCGGACCTCATTGTAGGTAGAATCTGCCCATCACCCCAAGCCTCTGCTGCAATAGATCTTCCCTTTAGATAGACACCAGGCAATTCAGAGGCTCACTTGTCATGCCTTGAGAAACACAATTGAAATAGATGCAACTTTTCAGTAAAGGAATAGGTCTGATTTTGCTTTCTTCTATTGCTAGGAGTCGATTGTCTCCTGAAGAGGAAAGGGTGAGTTAAAAACTGAGACACAAATATCTGCGTATGAGTATTGGTCCCATGTTTAAAAGGACACGTTAGTGCACACTGTTGGTTTAGACCTAAAGTGTCCCGCAAAAGTCTCATGTTTGGAGATGGGGCCTGTCTGAAGGGGCAGGCCACAGGGGGGTGATCAGAAGGATGTATTCACCATCCGGTTCCTCCTTACTTTTATTCTTCCTGGCCATCATGCAGTGAACAACTTTCCTTGACAATGCATTCTGCCATGCTATTTTTGCCTTGGAGCTGATGTAGGCCATGAGGACAATGGCAGACTGGCTGGATGACAAGATGTACCTGTCAATTACAAAGATCCCGGTTGAGGCTGGGAACAGGATGTGACTATGTAACCTGATCCAGAATGGATGCAACCTGTCCATTATGGCCAGAAAGTGTGGCCAGAACAACTCCCAGTAGTTGTGATCTGGAAGGACATGAAAGGCAGTGGCTATGGACTTCAGCCCTGCTACAGTCTCGCTGTTCTTTCCTGTTTCGGCAGTGGCCCATCCTGCTTGCAGGATGTATCTCTTCCTTTACTTCATTTTTCTTCACCCTTTTCTTTCCTTCCTTTACACTGAATCTTCCTTTATGTTAATGAAAGTTGTGTTTATCTTTTCTCTGGTTGTCCCAGCCAATTCTTTGGGTGGGATAGAAAGAGCCTAGAATTTTTAGACACCATGCCCTCCGGCAACAGAGCCAGCTAACTAACCATGGACTGAATCCACTGAAATTGTGAGCCAAAATAAACCTTTCCTCCTTAAAGTTGCAGGTGTTGTGTATTTTGTCCCAGTGCCAGAAGCTAAAGCACACACACACCCATGTTCATAGCAGCACTATTCACAATAACCAAGAAGAAACAAATTAAATGTCCATTGATGGATGAGTGGAAAAACAAGATGAGGTAGATATGTACAATGGAAGATTATTCAGCCTTAAAAAGAAAGAAACCCTAGCCAATCACAGTGGTTCAGGCCTATAATCCAGCTCTGTGGGAGCCCCAGGCAAGAGGATCGCAAGTTCGAGCCCAGCCTGGGCAACTTGATTAGTTGTCAAGACTGTCTCAGAATAAAAATTTTTAAAGGCTAGGGATGTAGCTCAGTGAGAAGGCCCTGAATTCAATCCCCAGTGCTAGAAAAAAAGAACCCATGACATGTTACCACCTGGGTAGACCTTAAAGGATGTTAGGAGAAGTGAAATAAGTCACTTACAAAAAGAAAAATACGGTGTGATTCCACTTGCATGGTGTGGCTAAGGAGTCAGATTCAGAGCAACAGAAAGTAGAATGGTGATTACCAGATGCTGAGGGAAGGGGAAGGGAGGAGCTGTCTGATGTATATAGGGGTTCAATTCTAAAGCTGATGTTTTGAAGATCAGCTTCATAACATTGGGAATAGACTTGATGCAGTTAAGTCTTGAAAGCAGCTAAGGTTAGGGCCCAGGATTTAGCTCAGTGGTTCTATCACCTGCCTTGCAAACTCAAGGACCCGCGTTCAATCCTCGAGTGGTTAGGATGGTAATTTGTATGTTTTTTAAAAAAAGTTTTAAGCCACAATTAAAACAAAAATCATAGCGTGGGGGCTGCCAGAGAATAGGAAGGTCACACTGTTAGGATGGATGTTTAAAGCCTGATTGTAGATGGGGAATTTGCAACGCTTGTCACGAATGTGAAATAACAAACGCAGGGACAGTGAAAGCAATTGTTGCTTTAGAATAAGGCCAGCCTCGTGAACGCGGGCTTTGGATGAACGGAACATGGGCACCTCCTACAGCTCCAGCAGAGCGGCAGAGTCCAGCTCTAAACGAAGGCGCTCTTCGCCTCCTGCTGGCCGGTTTTGGAATTGCTCAGTTTGAGGACCGCAGGCTTGAAAATGCTCCTCAGTAAGACGTTCCTGTTACTAAAATGTAGGTGTTTTGCATTCACCAAACTATTTCCTGTAGAGCTGTGAAACTCCTAGAGCCACTGTATGGGTTCTTTGGCTAATTACAATGAACAATGAATATGCTCAGTCACCAACTGCTAAGCCTCCATAGCGCGGTGCTCAACACTGGTTTTAAAGATGGCATGGGGGTGGGCCGCGGTTTGCGGCCTAAGGGCACAGATGTGTAAGTCAGCAAATCCAGTGCTGCAGAGTTCTGTGTGTGCTACGAGGCGTGTGTGCTCTGGAGAATAAGAACTGGGCAAGGAGGAATTAAAGGGGTTCAGGAGTCCAGTTAGCGATTTGGGTCCCTGCCCTCAGAATTCGGGAGAAGCAGCCATCTGGCCATAGAGAGGCACACGCTCCTTGTCAAAAGGCAGCCTCTTCTTTTTCTAGTTGTATTTTCCAAAGCAGGCTTTTCTTTCGGAATAATTATAGAGGCATCGAGCTGCAGAGACAGTGGAGAGAAGGCCGGTCTCCTCCACCCGGGTTCCCAGTGATTCATCTTCCAGCCAAGGGGCTGACAACAGGGTCAGACATGCGTTGTTCTCTGTCGCTC